ATTTTCTCACCAGTGTCTATCAAACAGCACTTGGTGAACACTGAATGTTGAGTCTGCATGGTCTCAGTAAAGCAGTGGATGAATCTCTGAGGTGTTGTTTTCTCTCAGATTAAAACATTTGCTCTGTGGTGACAGACAGACCTATTTCAGGCCTTCTTCAAACACAGCACTGACAGGCCTGCTGTCCCCTGGGTTTGTTCAGTCTCAGTGTGGACCTCTTCAGCATCTTAAGACTGCATAGATCTCCGGGGGGCTCTCTTGGGCCCATTGAAACAACAACAATTGCAGGGATATAAATCCCCCTATACAGATCTTGACTGTGATAGTAAGACCTGACAAGGCTTTTTTAGCCAACTGTTGCTTCAGGGACTTTGCTGACACTGGCCTCCTTAGCCAAACACAGGCAGTGTTTTCATTGCCCGAATTGATGTGACTTTAGGCCATCAATTAAAATGGCCTCCTCCCAGAAAGCAACTAAAGTTGGGGCACCTTTTATGATTTTCAACAGGATGCTGTTTGCCTTCAACATTAATCTGTTAGTCGCTTTGGTTCATTGGTAATATATATCTTGCATCGGGGTGTTGATCAAAGTGCACAGGACAAGTGTTTTTGTATCACTGCCAAAACCCTGAAAGAATTTACAGCAATGGGCCTGGCTCACAGAGAAGGAGGACAGAGGGTGGAAAGCAAGTGTCACTGACCCATGCGTCTTTCTCTTCCATCCTCTTCCATTGTAAAATAAATGAATGACTTTTATGAAACACTGCTTTTTTGCATGGTTATTTTTTAAAAGCAAATTTGAGTTATTGTATTTCTAATGTTTTGCTCCAAGGTAAAATTAAATTAGTATTTTGGGTTCTCACAAAAACATGGACACCTCATGTCATACATTTATTTATTAATTTTTTACCCTGGAGTCGATTATTGCTGTGGCCTACAAGTGGTGATGTGCTACAAAATGTTTTCAGACATATATGGCTCAGGGGTTTTGGACACTGCTCATGTAACAACAACACCCCAGGTGAGAATCCATATGCAAATCCAATCCACTTTGGACCTTTATTGCACCTTACTCTCCATTTTGTTTTAGCTCCGTTTACTGTCAGCTCTCCAATAATGGTACAGCAGGAAATATATTTTGAACCACTTCTCCTGGCAGAGACGTTCCATATGCAGCAGCCAGCTTAATCACAAAAATCCCCTTGGACTCTCTCCATAACAGGGGCTATTTGTATGAATATGCAACACAAAGTAAAGTTTTTCAAAAATGTTTTTTATCAGATTTATTTATTAGATTTGTATCCCTCTGTTTGATATTAAATAATTAGAATGTTATTTTATTCAATTAATAATTGACACAAATGCAAGTCCAGTTGCATCTGTGCACTTGTCCAATACAATAAATGTCATTCAATTCTAACTGTAATTGTATTTCCTTTCCCATTTTCTTTTGGGTCAGTTTTGAATGTTGTTTTATTGATCAGATCATTTAGATTTTCCTATTTCCTTGTGTGTCTGTTGTTTCAAGGGTGCTTTATGTGATGTTCTGCTACACAATGATGAATAGTGACATTTTTATCGATTTTAATTTTATTTCTTGTCAGAAGTTTGTTTTACACATCCACATTGATTGTGCATGAAATGCTGTGCTCTTTAATTTAAGTGCTTGGGTTATTGTATATTTCTATTAAACTGATCACACACTGATGACAGTTTGCTGTCCATGACTTATTTATAGGCTATTGATTACACCTCAAGGTTATCATACTAGTGTTTCCATCAGTTTCTTTTGTGAACTGAACATTGAATACATAAGGTAGTTTGGAACATTGCTGGCATTATAACGTGATGAGCATGTTAAGAGATGGTAGTGTGTCTCTGTTCAGGGATCGTCTCAAGCATTGGAGACCTTCCTTGACAGCTGAGCGAGTCCCATTTGTTGAAGGCTGTCTGGCTGATTTCTCTTTCTTGTGCCCCTGTCAAAGCACGTCCAGTCACGAAAATGACTTCTTTTTGCCAAGTTTTCTCTTGGAAGCCAGACTTCTGTTCTGTGCTACCTCCTGGATAAAATAAAGCCCCATACAAAAATACTCAATCATTTTCAGTTTTTTTAGAAATACATTCACTGTTTTCAATGATCATCCAAATGCTCATGAAATGAAATGATCTGACTGATGGAATATTAAGCAAATGACTATCTTCCCTCCCACCTCGTGAGAAGCAGCAAAGCACCTCTCTTTGTTTCTCTCAGACTCTCATCCAGAAGCGACTTCTTAACCATATACACAATTGTTCTTTCTCTAATTAGATTCCTTTGATACAGTATGAACAGAGAGAGGGACCCAGTTGGTGTATCCTCTAATGCACCCTCCAGTGGCTCTCATATTGATCCCTGTCTCTGTGAAGTTTCCATGAAGGCTGCTCATTGGCTCAGCATGGGCTATAATAAAAGACAACGAAGCACGAGTTGAAAAAAACAAAATAAAACAACCCAAAGAAATGGCTTGTTTTATTTTATTATAGGGCGAAAGCCACCCAACACCTGACAGGTATATGGCTAGTATGCTAATGTAACAGGTAATTGTAAACCAAACAGATCAGTGACATTTGTTGAGCAGTTAAACAGGAGCCCTCCTAGGGGATGTTTATATTCTACAGAATATTTATATGCTTACGACATAGTTAACTAGCTACAGCGACCTCTACAATTGTCGGTGGTGAGTCTTGGGAGGTAAATGCATTAGAAGCTTGAATTCACAGAGTAATTTGCAGCCTGTGAGGTAGTGACGCTGACAGTATTGTATTTGTTTTTCATCAGTGAATGTTTGGCTTGGCAGTGGGTTTCTATGGGCTGAGCAGGGTGGGCGAGGCAGGCAGGCAGGGGGCAGACTATGGATTTTCTTGTATGAGCCAACACACTACAGTGCCTCAACAGACGGAGATTGGGCTGTGGCTGTTGCAACCTCTCTGGGGGAAAAGGTGCCAAATCTTGTCCATTATAACAGGTTCTGCACTTTCTCAAGACACCCCCCGCTGTAACCCTCTCACACGGTACTCCTGCTTGAGTGCAATAGGGACGCAGCATGGGCAGAGAGGGATGTGAACATTTTCTGAAATGGCCTGAAAGTATTTTTGGTCAGCAGGAGCTAGCTAGCAGAGAAGGACTTGCTGTTTGACAGTCTGGGCCAAAGACAAACAAATCTTACCCGGTTCAGTATTTGAAGGAAGAATACAGCATTTGAGGAAATGTTTGTTGATTTATTTTGTCGTTGAAAAAGAGATGAGAAGATTGAAACCAATGTCTTGGTAAAAGTGTGGGGAATGCAGAGGTAGAGCTATATTGTTGGTCCAGCTTACTATAAAAAGTCAACAAATACTAGTTTAGTTTTGCTTAAAATTCAAACATGCTACTAAGACCTCTAAAGATCCCCGATAAGGCAAATTCACTTGGAGTGGGGGTATAGGGGAAATAGTGTGTAACCTAAACTACACAAATATTCCTTGAGAGTGCGACTGAAACAATTAGTCATATCACTTGGACTCCAAAAAATGTATCAATTGTATTTTTTTCTGTAATAAGTTTGAGAAAACAAGAGTTTAAATATATATACCAGAAACTCTCTTCAACAGTATGCGTGCAGGCTAGTGTTTGGTGAAAGCTAAGACAGCATGGGCACGAGACACATGATACCATACGTGTGCGAGTCAATGTAGCTGTCAAGCTTGACCTTCAGATATCCAATCTGATCTTAGCTCATGGTCAAAAGCACATGGAGCAAATCCACTCCCCATAGTTTAATGACAGACAAAGACATGCAACAATCAGAGTGCCATCACCAAATGCCATCGAAATTCACTTGCACTTTGATACAGATAGTAAGAGAGAACTATTCTCTGCAGATTATTATTATTATAATTATTACAAATTAGTCATTATTATTATTATTATTAGTATTATATGAATTGTCGCTGCTATCATTAATAACATCTTTACACTGTTTTCATTAGAACTCGTCACTAAGTGTTCCTGGTCTCTCTTGCTTCTCTCTCCCCCTCCTCCCCTTCCCTTGTATCTCTCTCTCTTCTCTCCCCTCTTTTCCACTCATCCCTCCTCTCCTCCCAGATTTTCTCTGCTCACCCCAACCAGGCAGATGACCATCCTCATTGAGTCTGGTTCTTGAGGTTTCTCCCTGATAATGAGGGAGTTTTTCCTCCACAGTCGCCAAAGTGCTGCTCATTGTGGGAACTGTTGGGTTTCTCTAGATTCATGTGATTTTAAGTTCTTGACCTTTTATGTAAAGTGCCTTGAGATAATCTATATTATGATTTGGTGCTACACAAATACAATTGTATTGAATTTCTCTTTGCTCACAAGAGGACAATATGCAGATATGCAGATAAATAGGCGTATATTCATATCTTGATGATGCTCTTTTAAATAACAGTGATATACTGCACCACTGACTTCAGATTGTGTTCGTGTTAATTGTACATGTTTCCACTGACTAAAGTAATGATGTGCTCAGTTAAGTAGTGCATTTACCAAACAACGCCTGACTCTGAACTAGCCACTTCTGTTTGGTGCCTCTGACACTAGGAGTTCACTCTCTCCACAGGTGGATGATCGTGGTAAGCTTTATCAGCGAGTCATGGTGCAGGTATGTGCAGAGTTTCAGATTTGTAGATAAAATCTGGCATGTTACATTTTACTCTGTGAAACAGACTCCCTTATTACTCAGAAACCATTTTGGCTACATCATCTGTTACATTATTTTATCATTCAGCAAAGGAATGTCAAAGGCGCCTTCCAACATTTCTAAATCCTCCGCGTCCACACATCACATCTCCTGTGGAACACGTGTTGAAATACGAAACCACGTGTGATGATTCTGTGTTTGTTTTGCTGTATGTTTTCTGTGTTCTCTCTCCCCCTCCCCTTTCTGTTTTTTTCTCCTGCAGGGCATGCGTGTGGGAGGGGGCGTGGCTGGTTTCTCCTGCAGCAGACAAGGCTCACCTGCTTCCACTCAAACCATCAACCTCCCCATAAAAGCCTGGTCTTCACTCCGCTGCTCTGCCAGATCACTCCGTCTAGTTCGGTAGTTGCGCTGCGTGTTTCTTGTGAATCTTCGATGCTCTTGTTTTTTTGATTGTTCCTCACGTTTTTTTTTTAACCCAGATATCCTGTGTGCCTTGCTGCACGCCTGCGTCGAGTCTTCAGTGCAGTGATCTCTTTCCATGTGCTCAGCACTCCTGCTGCCCTTGGGTTTCCACCAGCCAGCCTGCTCTCTGCCTCCACTGCTCTTTGTTGCTTCTTTTTTGAGCAATAAGCTCTTTTATTTATCATCACCTGTATTTTATTCTCTGCTTTGGGGTCCAAAGTAAATCAAGACCTAACACCATGCACCTCCAGCACTAATAAATGGTAAAATGGTATGTTACTATATATCACTTTACTAGTCTTTTGATGACCTCTCAAAGGCTAGTGCAGGCTAAGCTTCCTGAAAATCAATTATAAATAATATTGTAAATGTTTATATAAATTGCTTATATGCAGATCAGGGTGTTTTTCATAACCACACCCACCTGGCTCATCATGACTGACTCAGACAGGTACACTAGGGCATCCTTTCATCATGACCAGACTCCTGAACATATGCTTAGTGATGATACTCACCAGTAGATACAACCCAGCGGTGTCAATATGGGCTCCATTGACCCTGGGGTGTAAATGAAATACAAGCAGAAGTAGTGCCATTTCTTTTTTCTGAATGGATAAAGACAGGCTCAGATTCTGAAATATGCTAGATCACTCTCGTCACACAATGTCCTCTCTAACAATGCTTCTCCTCTTCATCAGTAATGGCCGTGGATACAGTCGTGGGACTGGAGGACCTGACTGATAGCGAAAATTTTGCAGAGGTCACTGAAAAAAATGGCGCCTGTGTGTGTGACCAGCCGCAACAAAAGACACCTACATCTTGTTTTACAAAGCAGAGGTTAGGACAATAATGTTGCATCTACATGTTTGACACAGAAACAGACACACATACATACAGTGAATGTGTACACCTGGTAAACAGTGCGAGCTTACAGAATGTATCCGTTTGGTCAACAGATGTGTATTTGTGCATATTCTTACTTCACTCGGATGTTTAGGCGTCTCTGTGCAGCTTATGACACTTGCTGACAAAAGGCTGTTTTCACATTTACCTGCTGTTTGTACTGGGGGGGGGGGTTGGAAATGTCATCAGTAGCTGGATTATGTCCATGGGATTTTTTTTTTGAGCTAATGAATAAATCGCATCTATTAACAGCAGCAATTTTGCAAGGCGGGGGTTTGGTTGTGTACCTGTCACATCACAGATTATGGTTTGTGTGTTTGTTTAAGGTTAGGTAAAGATTGAGACTTTGGTTGGACAAACATAATAACACAACAAACAAAATAAGACTGGGGTCAGTCACCATGTTACAGTGAACACAGTTTAAATATCTTAAGAGCATTTATTTTAAAAATTATATAGTAAATATAATTATATATTATATATTTATAGTCAGTGTGACAGAAAAAAAAAATCCATCTAGGCCTGATTACAATACAGATTTTTTTTTTCTCTTAAAAAACGGATAAGCCATTTAAAACACACAATGACAAATACAGCCTCATGAACATCTGTAATTTTAGCATCTTTTAGAAAAGAAGATGGAGAATGGTTAATATCCAATATGATAAGTGATCTTTGATATCAAAAATAAGTATTAAAATGTTTTAAATTAAAAGAAATACTACAGATGATTGAGTTCAAATAGATCAAATAAAATTATGACTTAAACTGCAGTCAATTAAAAGCCTGGTGTCATATAATGGTTGGTTCAACACAAACATAATGTGCATCTCTATTTCTTTAATTCAATAAATTATAATTAACATATTGATGCTATTTTCCACACTCCAATGTTCTGGAGTGTTATTGACCGAGCTCAGTCTCTGTGGGCATATGTGTGTATTCTCCTTGCTTTGTCGTCCTCTGACCACTTCTCAGAAATGAGCACTATAGCTACAGGCTTTAAATTTGAAACAGTTACAGGATGTGTTGAGTTTGTTCAAACAGAGTCATGGGAGCCTGCATTATGAAACATGACAAATTACCAAACACACAGAGGGGATTAGACCTAAAAGCCTGTTACCTTCTGCAACTGAAGTAAACAAAGGCCCAGTTACTATTTGAGGAAAAACGGCACTGCAGTGACTGCTCTCTAACAGTCAAGTGAAAACCGTTTCTTTCAATTTCAGACTTTGGGTTCAGTCACAGCCGATTCAGATGAGTCATTTGTGTGTTTTTAGACCTTACTAGTGCAGTACCCATTCTGAACATGTCTTTCAGATACAACTTTTCAAAATAAAACCAATTCAGCTTGACGATAAGTCAACACCTTTACCTGGATCAAGTCAGATGGTGCAAAGGCTCCCACAGCCTAGCCTCAGGTACCATCAGAAGATTCAGACAACAATGCACAGAGTGGCAATGGATGATGTGTTTGTGAACTGGAGGATGTCAAGTAATGATTTCTTCACCTGTTCTAAGTAAAAAGAATATTACAGATTTTTACAGAAGACACATTTTCATGGCAAGTGGAATAACACAGTTCCCTCTTGTCCTGAACCTGGTCTGTGCCATGAGAAGATCTCACTGAGAGGCTGAACCCAGGCCAGCAGATGCATCACTCACCCAACACCAAGGTCCATCTGGAAGGCCTGTGATCGCGGCTCACCACTGAAGCTCTGGCTGAGGACAAAGCTTGTTAGCCACACGTGCCATGGGTATTCAGCAACATGTACAGTATGTCGTAAAATAAAAAAAAGATGAAAACATTAAAAGTACAAGAACAGATTGAGAACAGGTCACATGAGCAGACGAAGATATACTGGAGCACATTTTAAATCTACACTACAACCTTATTCACACACACACACACACACACACACGCAATGTGTCATGGGGCTCCTCTCGGCCTCCAACGACGGTTTATTAGACACACCACAGATGGACTATTTGTATTCTATCCAACTGAAATCACTGTCAGTGTCAGTCAAAGCTAAAAGCAAAAGGAATCGGTTTGTAGCAGATTATGGATACACAGTACTTACATGGAATGTCTAATGTTCTGGTAGTACTAATAGCCTCACTTGATTTATTTTAGCATTACAAAGTAATCATTAACATTTCACAGCGTGCTGACAGTGGAGGCAGCCAAATACAGAGAGTGACATTGGCTAATACCATGGCATAGGGACAAAAACACAGTGACACTTTAGGGGAAAAGATCTGTTGGTAACTAGAGAAATTGTCTCCAGCTACACTGTTGTGTTGTAGTTTATTGTGCGGGATTTAAGAGGGTGTGAATACACGGATAAGCCTCGCTGAAGCCACAGCACCATCAGGAACACTGGTTTTACATCCTGTATGCAGCGATTTGATCCTTCAAGAGTGTTAGTGATGTCGGGGGCTAAGGTCACAGTTAGTGTCCAGGCTGTCTGCGGGCCAATCAGATTCTTCCACAGTGAGTGGATAAACTTCTTTGAGGAGACGTCTTTGTGCTTGGGGGTAGTGATACGCTGAAACTGTAAACAGACTAACACTAACTAATTATAAACAGACTGCTGGTTGAAAACATTATTGTGGGCTGTAGCACTGAACATTAGATTAATTGAAGCTAGGAGGCGTAGACTTTTGTTCATTGACCGTCACTGAAAAATTAAGCACAAGATTGACAGTAGTGTAAATCATGTTTTGTATCTTGATAGGTGAAGTTTTTGGGGCAGCATGTCAGAAATGTTTGAAGATCTGTATGTGGCATTACCTCTGAACGACACAGCCAGCTGACCAAACACACAATTGGTAAAAAGCTATTTTGTAAATATGTCTGTGTTAATATATTAATGTCGTAATAGTCATGTATTAATTGCAGTTCTGCATAAAACATTTGTAGAGCTGATTTTTTTTCATTTTAGACTCCTTGTTTCCATCCTTGTTTACAACTTGTCCTTGCTGCCTTCTGTTGGTAAATGGTTGTATTTATATAGCACTTTTCTAGTCTTGTAGACCACTCAAAGCGCTTTACACTACAGTTTGCTATTCACCCATTCACACACACATTCATACATACAGTGCATCTAGAGTAGCACTTTTGTTGTTGTTCTATGGGGCAATTTGGGGTTCAGCATCTTGCCCAAGGACACTTTGGCATGCAGATGGGAAGACTGGGAATTCCGACCTTCTGGTTGGAGGACGACCGCTCTACCCCTCAGCTGAGGAACTGCTTATTTTCTAGAAATCTAGAGCATTACTAGATAAGCGTCAATGTGTCAAGTGGAGCAGTGTAAAACCATTGTCAAGAGACAAAGTACAATAGGGACTTGGTTCTACTACAGAAAAAAAATCACTTTATTCCAAACTTTGACAGTTATAATAACTCATAACTAACAGCACTGGGATATGGTATGTTGTATGGCTAGCTTCATACAGTATATCTGATGATGGATCATAAATATTCTAATGTGATTTCATATTTCCAATGTTTTTAGTGACCCTTTGTTAAATGCCTGTTGTAAAAATGAAGAAAAGAACAGCGTCATTGCTGAGTAAGTTTTATGGGTATGGATGAAAGTTAATGGTGAACATTATTGCCACACTTGTAGTATTTGTTTTTTTAATGTCTATAAGATCTAACTATAGGAACATGCTTCTGTTTTTTAGAGAGTTCAGAAAGACTAATATGAAGGATTGTATTTTCTTACTGGGCCAGGAAGTGATGTCAGCCTTCTATACATCCATGTTTATAGAAGCAACCTTTATTTTCCTCCCAAACACAAACTATGGGAAGGCCTCTAAGTGCCTTTTCAGTCCAGCCTTGCAGCTCTTTTTGTACCTCACTCTTACTCATCTCTTCTTCTTTTGGTTGGGAAGATGAAAGCAGGCTCTACATGGCTATGAACCTCACTGTACATAAGAATAGTATTTATTTTGTGTGTGTGTCCATGTGTCTATGCCACTGTTTGTGTGAATCCCTATTGGTTTGAACAGATACTGCTCAAATATGTTTTGTTGGTATCTCTTAAAACCAGAGATGGAAAATTCAGAAAATACTAGAAACACATTTTGTTCAGAGTAATGATTGTTGCAGCTTGTACAAGATCCACTTTCAATGACTGACAAGGACATTGGGGTTGTGGGTACGTTTTAAATGAGTTTTTTTTTATCTGAAGTTGTTTTGTTCAATAGAGTTTGCTATAGTACTCAGCAGGACACACCAAGGTCTGTTGTGCATGTATTTAAATCCTCTTAAAGCACTATAAATAAATAAAGGTTAAAGTTGAAGGTAGCTTGTATACTAGGCAGTTACTTATTTCTAGATAATTATAAATAATTATAAGTTAGCCACAGATATGAATATTTAGAGAGATACATGTAGCTTGAAATCCAGATCACCTTGCTTACACATTGACAGGATCTTTTTTTTTTACCACTTGTCCACTAAGGAAAATTAACTTTTCAGTTTCTGTTTGCTATACTCTTATATATATTATCATATTAATTTTTCCTAGTAGATGCACCACACACAACGCTGGTTATAGTTGTTAATATCAAAAGAAAAACATAATTCTGTAGCTTGTATGTATATTAGTATATGTTCAGTTGTACATAAGTAACAGCAGCACATAAGTGCAGTATAGTGAAAAATGTAACTGTACCAGATATATTCATCCAATATTCATATTTTTCATACTGTAATATTCTAGATTGCATAACATTACTCTATTTCAAAACATAGTTCCTTATGTTAGCTACACGATGGTGGAAAACTCTCATCTGAGATTTTCATTCATGACATTGTGTCTTTTCTACAGATTAATCAGCTGCATATTCATTTTAAAGGTGTTGTTTTGGGCAATAGCCAGGATGCAGTCTGAGATTCTCTGGTAGGGCGATGCTAACTATTCCAAGTATAGGCTGAAAACCAAAGAAGACTGAGCCTTTTCCCTAAGCGCCCCTACACAGACAGTAGACTTAACAGTAGACAGAATCAGTAACCAGTTTTATTTCACTTCTTAAGACACAACTTTGTATCAATCAATCAATCAATCAAATTGTATAGCCCATATTCACAACTCCCAATTTGTCTCATAGGACTTTAACAAGGTGCAACATCCTCTGTTCTTAACCCTCAACAAGAGTGAGGAAAAACTACCAAAAAACTATTGACGGAGACGGACAGAAGTGCAATAGATGTGGCATGTAGCTGAACACATCAACAACATTGCAATATTTAACATCATTGATTAGAAGAAACAGTAATGTCAAGTGTGTCAAGGTTTGAAGTATTTGTACATGAATGAAGCTAAAGTCTGATAGATGATGAGATGAAGGGAGCAGTAATGACTAATGAATTGAACAGTTATTGTCAGTTATGGTAGAATATGTGAGTAAACGTAATATATATCAAGTAGTCTTGTAATCATAGTCCATGATTAGCCACCATCATGATCAGCCACCACCACCACGATCAGGATCTATCACCACCATCCATGATCAAGATGCACCAAACTTTTTATCATGTGATGTCAATTGCTTTTATTATGTGTCTTTATTAATATTATTCTGATTGTTCACAAGTTTCATATTGAAAAGCACTTGGTTACTTGTATTGAAATGTGCTATTGAAATAAATGTATTATTATCATTATTATTATTTTTGTGTGGCTCCATTCTGAGTATAAACTCAGTTTCAGAAACACTCAAACCAACATTTGTAGGCACTGAAATCACACTTTTTGGATGAACTGCATTACTAAGCAGATGTACAGGTGTCCCTAATAAAGTGCTCGCTGAGAGTACGTCTTGTTTGGTTTCATGCTGACTTTGCAAGCTTTAACATTTCACTGAGACACTGATGATTTCATTAATTTTCTCTAAATAAGTTGTACAGAGACCAGCAGTCACTGACTTCCTAATTGCAGCACAAGGCCTCTCCATGATATTATTTCCACATGAATAGGACTCTTACAGTGAACTGTTAGACACAGAGCAAGTCTTTTCTTCAGACTTCAGCCCTTCAGGGCCACTGTTTTTCCTCAACAAAAAGTGCAGAGCCCCTCAGATTCTTCCTATTTGTGTGGGTCTTTTCCAATCAAAATCGCTTTCCCTGATTATTTTACAGGGATTAGGGATATTTTTCCAGTAGACTGTAATAACCATCGTATATTTTAACCTCCTTTTAATCAGTGGGGAAAAGGAACAATCAGTTACATCACTGAGATGGAGAGCACTGGTTTTCCCCCCAGCCAAAGTGTACTGCTTATTTATCCAGCATCTAAGGCTTCCCTGGTTTATTTTATCTGACTGAGTGAAATTCCAGTATCGGCCCAGATTTCTATGGGGTGGCGGGCCTCATCAGGCTCCTCTCTGTCTTAGCAGATGTGGAGAAATGGAATGGAGTAAGTTTTGCATGGTATAGTGAGGAGTGCAAAAAAAACACCTCCTATATACTCGTGTCTTAGTAGAGGAAATGTTGCAGACTCCAGGTAATTGGATCATTTAAAGTCCTGGTGACAGACACACGCCCAAACAGTCAAACAGTTTAGAGAGAGACATTAGAAGTGTATGTAATATTATTGGAAAAAACCTCAAAGGGAAATATGCTGCACACATACTGTGCTTACATCTTTTTTTACATTCATGCGTACAGAAACGAACAAAGTGAATACAAACTCAGGAATGTGCTCATACTGCACCAGCACTGGGCACACCACTAATACAATTACATCAAGGACAATTCCTTTCACCAGTGTATCTGAAAAATAACCACAATGTCTTATTTTATTTATGTGGCTCATATCTCATTTTATGAGCTGGATAATATCATATATTAATAATATCAAGGCATGACCTCTATATATAGAACATAATGCATCTTCATCCTCTGTCAACGTGTCTCCTCCTGGGATGTCCACAGTCCCCCCCCCTTCTATGCATATGCAATGAGGAATTAGACACTCGGCTCTACTGCGACTACATATACTGTAGCATGTGTTTGGGGCAACATGTGTTACACTTTTGTACCAAAAAATGTGGACCTGCAGTGTTCCTCAGCTGCTGGTGTTGAAAAAAGAAGCAAAACCAGAGACTGAATGCTAACATATTATTTTGACACACATTTTATGGAAACATAATGATTATTAAACAGAGATTGAGGAGAATTCAAACATCAGTTGGGCTGTTTGAATGGGTTTAGCTCTTTTATATTCAAGCCCTATCTTGTTGATTGCAGGAGCAGGACATGTTGATGAAGGGCCCAGGCTTTCACTTCCTGATTGGCATCAAAGCCAGGGGGTCCAACCACAAGTGGGTTGGTGGGGTCATGCATCGTTGGATGAACAGTGCAGATATATTAGAAAATATAAAGGAACATCACCAAATTGACCAAAAACAAATAATAGATAATGACTTTTGTCTCCCATTGCTCTGTTTCATTTCATTTTCTGTTCTATTGCTCCACATGGATGCATCAATCTATAATCAGTTCATTTCCCTGTGTCTCTTCACATTGGATGCTCAGTTAATTTTCTTTGTACTCCTCATCCACAATATGGGCTGGTAAGTCTTTGATCTGTATTAGCAAAGTGTTAAATCGGTTTGATCTAGTTGATTAGCCCCAAACGTGGTGTCTAGACTCCAAGGCCAGCGGGTGAGCAGCTCCCCTTCTCTTTGTTTTTCTCTGCTCTGTAGCTTTTGGCTCAAGTAGCCCCCGAGGGAATGCATGGCATACACATACATCCAGGTACACAGAGAAAATGGGCATTCAGTGTGTTTAATTGTACTGGTAATTATTCAGAATTATTATTGTTTGACCTTCTAATGTCTGCCTTGGGAAAAATAAGAATAAATCATTCAGCAAAACAGAGACATCCTTGACTAAGGAAATATCAAATTCTGCCT